CTAAATGCAAAGTATGATGGAAGGACAGACAGAAGGACGGAAGACGGACATGACGAACACTATATGCTCCAGCCATATTCATGGCAGGGCATAAAAATCCTTCACTGCTCATTAGGCAAAAGTGCTAATTAAGTAAAAGTCTAAAATTTGTAGCCATCTATTGGCAATCATTATAAGATTCCAAAACATACACCTTCATTTTTATGGTACTGAAATTTATCAAAAATCTACATTAAAATCAGGGTTCGACATTCACGCTCGTCACCTCGTCATTTCCATCCCGGAATGGTTTTGGACGAGCTGAATTTTAGTCGGGCTCGCCCAAATGACGACCTGGTGACGAGTTGGGATTATTCAATATATTATGTTAACGTTTTGTAAAATAATAAATATTATGAGCATTGTGAATAAAATGTTTTCTTAAATAGGCTTATTGATTACTTTTTCTTGTCTTCGTAAACAACGATTGTATAAAAATAAAACACGGCTTATATCCGGTTTATATTTTATAATTCATGTACACTTCCGTTAAAAACAAACATGTGGGCATTTTTGTCCGGTGTAAAGAAACCTGCCCAAAATAAAAGAAACTATGAAGAAAATCGCAAAGAAAGATCTTTCAAAGTGTCCTGGACTGCAGGACGCCAATGGCTTCAGTACAAAGATGGCAAAATGTTCTGCACTTTCTGCAAGGAAGCTGGTGTGATTTCTGATTTTTGTCGGGGGTCCACCAGCTTCCGAATCGACTCGGTGAAAAAACACGAAAATTCGGACAGTCATAAACATTCCACTGTTGTTGCAACTAACAAAACCAAAGAGGTATGTTTTAATATAGCCTACTGTCATATATATGAATCAATAATTTCCTAAATCAATATGATCTTGTGGAAAGATAAAAAAAAAAGAACCTTTATATATTATGGGGATTTTCTTTTGGCAGATCAAAATTCCAAATTAAAAAAATGATTTTTTTTATTCTTAATTATTAGCCTGGTACACGGCCTGCAGAGAAGGCTCTCCAGAACCTTAATAAAGAAAATGTCAAAAAACTTGAAATTTTATTCAAAACGGCCCATGCACTTGCCAAAAATAACCGTCCCTACAGTGACTTTGAGTGGATATGTGGGTTAGACGTCGCAAAAGGACTTGTCCTTGGTACTACTTACATCACCGATAAATATTGCAGAAAGTTTGTTAATGCAATCGCAGAGGTTGAAAGAAATAGAACTAAAGAGGCTGTGGAAAAGGTGAAATTTTTGTCAATACTTTGTGATGGGTCCACTGATCAGGGAATAATTGATAATGAAATAGTTTATCTACGAATGGTAGTACAGGGCAAAGCAGAGGTGAAGTTTATTGGCTGTATGCAAGTTACCAAAGCTGATGCCAGAGGAGTATTTCATGCGATGAAGAGGGCTGTAGAAGGTAAACCCACACAGCATTAATGAAATTGCAAAAGTCCCAAGATAAACAGAATCTTTAACTTAAACTTATCTTTTTCAAACAGGAGTTGGGCTTGATTGGTCCAAAACACTTAAGAAAATGGTTGGCCTTGGGTCCGATGGCGCCGCGGTTATGACAGGGAAAAAGGCAGGTGTTGCTGCCTTGTTAAAACAACAACATCCTTCAATCATTTCCATTCATTGTCTTGCCCACAGGTATAACCTAATTATCTTTTAATTTATACAAGCATTGCAAGATGAACATAACACAAAATAAACAGAAAATTATGAAAAATTTCATCTAATTTTGATTAAACATAATCAATAAATTTAAATGTAATTGCTACTGAGCTTTTACAAGTGTATTTATTCATGTTGTTAAGGTTAGAACTGGCCTACAAAGATGCTTTAAAGGGGATCAAAATAGGAGAAAAGGTTGTCTCTGGGCTTTTACTAGGGTTATACTACTTTTACCACAACAGTCCATTGAATAGGGCTAATTTGAAAGAGTCGTATAAAACCCTTGGAATAGACATGAAGATGCCAACAAGAGTTGGCGGCACCAGGTGGGTTGGCCATGTACTACTGGCATTGAAAAATATGTTCCATGGATATGCTGCCATCAAGCAACATCTTTATCAGGTACTTATTTAATTGTATGCTTTTCTATTTATTGCTAGAATTCAGTTTAGACAGCCTTTCAATCTACCTTAATCTAAGGATTTTTTGATATAAACATTTTTATTTTCAGCTTGCATTTGGGTCAGGTGTGCAAGCTATTGCCAAAAGTAAAGCCCTTGGTCTCTATAAGATTCTTGTAGATGACAACAACATCACATTTGCAGCTTTTCTTCTTGACATTTTGTCTCTCCTCCACATCATGTCACAAGTATTTCAGCGGGAAGAAAGTTGCGTGGCAGATATACACAGGGCTCTCAACTCCTGTCTTTCCTCACTCAACAGATTTTCTGAGATGTAAGTAAATTTAAATACATTTGATTCATTAAAAATAATACCACTTGATATGACTAGTGTGGCTGGGTTTAAATTAAAGAATACTCTTGAATTAGTGATGGAGCCTACCTGACAAAGCTTAAATCAGGTGATATGGGACCAGTGGTTTCAAGTGCAAACCTGGCATCATTTTCAAAAGCTAGAACTACACTACTAGACAATTTAAAAATGAGATTGGCACAGAGATTTGAAGATGCAAATATTGGAGTTGTTAAATCTTCAATAATTGTTGACTTCAAATGTTGGCCAGAAAAGGACAGTGAAAATAAATGGGAAGGTAACACAAGTAATTGAAATTAAACATTTATAGTTGTGTTACTTTTAGTTATCCATTTTTATTTTCATTTTTCTTTTTTTTTTTTTGTTGACAATTTATTAAATATAATGTTGCCCTATTAGGTTGTAAGTTATTTAGATCTAACATTTTTTATACATGTATATTTAGTTTTACTAATAAGTCAAACTTTGTTATCTCAAACCTGTTGAGACTGAGAACATCTTTGAGATATCTCAGGATTCAATAATATATCGAGTGTAAAATAATTTAAGAATATGTTTTTGGGATTTCCACATAACTCTGACATATCAGAGATAATGATGTTCAACTGTCTTACTAAACAATTATTTAAGTTGTTCAATATCTTTTATAATTGTACTGTACCATTGTTTTAAATTTAATAATCAAAAAATGTTATCAAATAATTTACTTTTATGGAAAAGAATTTATGCACATTCTTATGAGTATATGCGCTGAAATCATCAAGTTGTGATTTACTTTCTACAACTACCGGTATTTATTTTTTGACAAAGATTTTTGCACTTGTCTTCTTGTAGACTTTGGTGATGAACACATCAAGACAGCAGCTGATCATTTTCAGCAGGACTTGGAGACGGCAGGTTTAGATGCAGATGATGTTTTTCACGAGTGGGTCTTTTTGAAATCAGACATTTATGGAAGGTAAAGAAATCAATTCAAAGAAAGACTCCAAATATAAATGTACATGTATCTAAAAATTGTTCATACATTTATTAATTTATTTATTTTATTGACATAGCTTCCCAGATGTTCATGAGCTGTCTTGGCCTCAAGTGCAGAGGCAATTGAATGGATATGAGAACATCTTTGGACTCATTGATCTTCTCTTGACTTTGCCATCATCAAGCTCAGAGTGTGAAAGAGGGTTTAGCCAAATGAAGAAAATTAAAACTGATTCTAGAACTAGACTTACCGAGGCATCCTTAGATGACCTATTGACCGTCTCGCTTCATTCGGATGCTATTGACAAGTATGATATAACATATGAAGTTACATGTATTTTCACTTGATATGGGGATTTAAGCTGTAAAGCTTATCATGTATTACTGCTTGCACATGCACACATTTATTAATAACAATACATTAATCATTCTCTCTGACAATTAAAAAGATGAATTAAAATTACTGGTTTTAGGTTTGATCCAATCCCTGCAATCAATAAGTGGGTTCATGGGGCAGTGGCAAAAAGAAGACCACAGTTTAATGACAAAAAAAGGGTAAGTAATTGGAAAAAAATTAAGTTACGGTAACCTGTACAATTAAAAAAAAATAACTTCCCAGAAATTTCCACTCTGCTGCAATTCACACTTCATTGTAATGTATGATTTAAAGTCAAAGATGTAAACTAAATTCAACATCTTATAGAAACAACAGACCCAAGGGCAACAGGAAAGAGAAAAGAGACAGAGGACAGAGGAGACGATTGAAATTATCGATGCAGAGACTCAAAGTGAAAGTGTTGAGAGAGAGAGTCAGAGTGAAGATGTTGAGGGAGAGAGTGAAAGTGCTGAGGGAGAGAGAACTCTGGAGGATTCTAGGGGTGACAATGAGGAAGAGACAGACGAGGAAATGAATGGGGAAATAGATGAGGATGAGGGCAGTGAGATAGATTCTGAAAATGATCTCAGTGAAGAGAGAGTTAATGAGATTATATTAAACTTTGAAAAAGAAATAGAGAGAGAAATGCAATGAATAAAATCTTTACTTAAATAATTCCACATTTGTTTTATTTGATTTTTTTATTCGGACGACTTTAAATTCATTCGGGCAACCTAAGATCAGTACCAAGGTTGCCCGAATGACGAGTCCAAATTTTGACGAGTGTCGAACCCTGAAAATTCTAGTCACAACTGTCACAACACGCCGTTTGATGTAAGAGAATCATTTCACGATTATTATATTACGTACTTGATGAAAATACTGAATTTAGAAAACTAATAGAAATATCTTGAAAAACTTCTTTTATTAACCATAAAAGGTACTAACAAGAGGTCCATGGGTCACATCGCTCACCTGAGCACATTGGCTAGAAAAAGAAGCAATCAATTCAGAATTGAAAAGTTATGAGGAGTAAAGGGGGGGGGGGGTGAATTTTAATCCACCTGATGAAGTTCCTATATCAATATATCAAATGACTTTGCTGTTCTTGAATAGAATATTTTTTCCTTTTTATTGATTTGCAAAAATTTGACCCCACCTTGTGAACCAGCCCTACCCCCCCTGTGGGCCCTCATTTGAACAAATCTGATTTAAGACTATACCTGAGGATGCTTCCATGTTAATATGACTAATCATGGCTTTTCTAACCTTGAAATAACTATAACCCTAACCCTCTGAGGTCATGATATGAAGAATATTGGCTCAACTGTTCTTAGAAAGAAGAGTTTTAAAGAATTTCCCTATGTATTCACATGTTAAACTTTGATCAACCATTTTAAAGTTTTAAAGATTTTTCCCATAAATTCCTATGCAAAACTTTAATCACCCATTGTGGCCTGACCCTGCTCTCGGAGGTCATGAATTGAACAAACTAGGATGAATCTACCTTACGTTATGATGCTTCCAATCTATATTAAGTTTCATCGTCTGGACCAGTGGTTCTTGAGGAGAAGATTTTTTAAATGATGCCATTATTTTCACAATAAATCCTAATTATCTCCCCTTGAAAGAGAATTTGGGCCCTTCATTTGATCAAACTTGAGAATCCCCTTTACCCAAGGATACTCATTGTGGCAAATTTCAGGTTGAAATTGGCCTACTTGGTTCTTGAGAAGAAGTCGAAAGTTTACAGACAGATGGTGGAGTCAGACAGACGGATGCCGGACAAAATGTGATCAATAAAGCTCACTTGAGCCTTCAGGTCAGCTGAGCTAAAAATAAAAGACATTTAAATCAAATGTGAAACATAAACAGTAAACAAATAAAATTAATGTCATTAAAATAAATTTTCAAAAAGTTTCATCGTACCACTACCAAATTCAAACTTGACCAGTATTTTTCTTCATGCCATATTCTTTAATTCTCAACTTATATTAAAGCCAATTTCAAAACTTTTTAAGAACATGAAATTTTAGAGCAAAATAAATCCCAAAATTGCACCTTATTCTTGTCTGCACATACAATATTAACATACGTACATCCCTACAAAAGTCCGAGAGTGGAAAATGAAAAGTTATTTTTTAAGTTCAAGAAGGACAACTCTGTCAAAAATCAGTTGAACTTGACCTGAATGTTCTGGTAAAATACCACCCTATCAATACATGTACATCCTTTAAAACTTTAAAGAGTGGAAACTGAAATTTTATTCTTAAATTTTTTTAGTTCAAGAGGAATAACTCTGTCAAAATCATATTGGATCATAACCAAATTCAAACTTGACTACATGCCTGATTTATACATATTCCTATAACGTATCCATATAAATTTTGAGATGAATGTGTGTAATTGTTGCTGTCTGATAAGATAAGGAATGGAAAGTCAATGAGAACAGAATGATGGAACAGGTTACAGGGTAACACTATATATATATATGCCCCCGCCCATTATATGGCAGGGGATAAAAATTTGGATGATAATCTAAGTTTCTTTTTCACTGTAGCCTTATAAACTAAGAAATGGACATTGTGAGCTATAATTAAACTTACCGGGAAGTCCATCACGTAGTCGGCGTGCCAGGCAGGGCGACGCCGAATCCTCGTAGATCGTCGTGGCTCCATCTAGATAAAAACAAGAAAACGCTATCAGTATACACAACACAGATATTTCCCTTGATTTTCATTAGGGCTGGGTATTGGCCCGAGATTTCGTATTGCGATATATTGCGATATTTTTAATTGTATTGCGATATGTATTGCAATATTTTTAATGTAATAAAAATGGCATTTTCTTACTACATTAACTATAATTTACATGCAGAATGTACATAACCATGATAAGTAACCAACACGGAAAAAAAATCTTGTTGATTTCAATTAAGTTATGCTCTGAAATGTCCCCACAAAACAACTTCTGTCTTACTGTTTGGTTTAATAACAAACTTTCATAAGTCCATTTTTATATTTAATGACATAATTCCTTAATCTAAGCATATTGCCAAAATATCGATATTACAAAATCGTATTGCGATACGATATTTTTTGTCATTGTATTGCAATATATTGAAATATCGATATTATTGCCCAGCCCTAATTTTCATAATAAGTCACTACAAGTTTCAGGGTTTTTTCTGGGTCATGTTGAGGTCAGATTACAGATCCCGTTCCTAGTCATAGTTTTCCAATTTCAAATCTTTTTGCCAGTGAAGGTACCCGTAGATATACTATTACTGTAGTAATAATATAAACTTAAAAAAGCGGGCTTCATATTTTAGCTGCTTTGGCACAGACATTGATGCACTAATTCAAGAAACCCATACAAAATCATTATATAAATACAACATACAACGTGGATGTGTGTAGCGCTAAATCAAGAATATACCAACAATTCAATACCTAGTGATGATTATGCTTAATTTTGAATACACCAATATAAAAGACCCTGAGGATCATGATTTGAAGATATTAGAATGAACACTACCTAAAGACGTTTGTCCCCAAAAATTTAAACCTTGGACATAATTTTTGAGTGGGTGGGGCTATGGTTTTCATAATTTTCACTGACAGCAGTATTCCAAATGTAACAAGACCAACAAATTTGACTTCTAGAACTTGACCTTGGAGTTTGACCCACTTTTACCAAACTTTATGAACTTTAACCTAGTTGGCCATAACTTTTGAATACATGTAGCTGATGCTATGGCTTTCATACTTTGAAATTGACCTTAGAGTTTGATCCTTGTTAAGGAAACTAATCTTAACCATAATTTTTCAACTGTTAGTACAAGGGTTTTTCATATTTCAAAGATGTATTCCTTCTGACAAGAACTTTCTTTGGACATCAACAATTTTGACCTTTTGACCTTGAACTTTGAAATTTGAGAAACTTCAACCCTTGCCATAAGCTGTCATGCATGGGCATTTGTGTTTCAGAAACAAATCTAGTTTGTTGAAAAAATTTTTTTTTAACTCTCTCCCTCAATTTTCATATCTTATTTATTATACCTCCGTTTGGTCTTTCAAGTGAATAAATCTGAGTGACTGACAATGATAAGTTTTTGACAACCATGAACTGCATGTGCAAATTTAGAGGGTTTTTTAAGGGGTGGGGGGGGGGGGGCAGTGAAAGTCACCTTGGACCCCCTGAAATCCTTGGACCTCTACTTAAAGCAGCAGATTTATTTGAAATTGTTTTAATAAGTAATAGTTATCATAATATCAAGCTTATCTTTTCTTGATTATCTCCCCTCGAACGTGGACTTGGCCCTTCATTTTAAAAATTTAAACTCCCCTTTACCCAAAGATGCTTTGTACCAAGTTGGATTACACAGACAGATGGACAACAGGTGATCAGAAAAGCTCGCCTGAGCAATCAGCTCAGGTGAGCTAATAAGTCTTTTCTAGCCCAGTGTTTCTTGATAAGAAGATTTTCAAAGATTTTTTCTATACATATTTCGCTGTAAAATTTGATTCCTTATTGTGGCCCATGATTTGAACACTTCCAGAATGCTTTCACATAAGTTTTAGGTTTTCTGGCCCAGTGCTTCTTGAGAAAAAGATTTTTATAGATTTTTCAGATAAACTTCTATGAAAAACTTTGATCATTATCCTTTATGCCAGGCCCTAATCATGAGGGGGAATAGGGGGGTCATGATTAGAA